CGACGACGGACGGATGACGGACGACGACGGTCGGGACTGCAAGGAAAGAGCATACTGCTGTTACAAAGCTTTAACAGCGTAATTTGGACTAAGGGATAGTTGATATTGATGTCCTTGTTATGTCTTAACGGTGATGCATTGGTGCTATCTAGTGCTTTTATTAGACATCATTAGTTCTAAGATTTTACTCGAGCATGTTTTTTCTTTAATATTTCCCGAAGGTGGGACACCAACACGTCATTGCTTGGGAATGAAACATGCCCCCCCCCCCTGCTAAATATTCGCGATGATTCAAAAATGCCTTCAGATATGGCTGCAATTTTTTGTGGCTGTCAATTGACGAGTTCTACGCCTTGTGCCAGAGTGGCGATCACAAGACCTTAACGGATCAGCGTGAGCGACGTCAGAGTGACGTACTGCTTACCGATTTCTATTAGAAAAGCACAAAAGCGCGAGCGTCACAATGACACATGAGCTGAACGGAAGAAAATATTTTATATCTGTCCACGAGAAATGTGGGCCAATTCGCCCATAATTCATTTGCCTTTTTGCGTTGTTTCAGTGTTGCACATTGAAATATTTGCTCGTTAAATCACAAAAAAACATTAACAAAAAGTGCACTCACAGTTTTTTATCTTTGACTCAAAACTATGACGACATGAAAAGAGATGTGCTAAATATGACTATGGAGGGTGGCTGTACCACCTTTCAGGCAGTTACGATAAACAATGAATGAGCTATATATTGGCATGTATCGCAGCACATGTCCGTGCCCAGGTGGCGTGGTGACGGGCGGCGGGAGCCGTTTATCTTCTATACACGCAACACACGACCGCGTGACTAGCGGCGGGGTTGAAGGGATCAGGTTGCGCTGTCGGTACGACCGAACCGTCGAAAACAATACGAAGATCGATTGAATCGCTTGTTCGCCACCAGGGTGATCCATTTGGCCTCGTCCTTAGACGGTGTTTATTGCTTGACAAGTGATTATCCTGATCCCGTTCGTACTCGCCTCTTGCGACTCTTGCATCTGAGGCGGCGCCGACACCGTGATCGGCGCGCTCAGCGAGCCTGCTCAGTGCGTAGAATTCTGTTGCGTCGGGACCAGGGTGGCGAGTAACACACATTCGTGCGGGAGATGCGGGAGTCGGACCCGGCCGCGCACCGATGCTTTTCTGGATGTGCGTCGACAAATTCGACGAACTCCTCGCCATTGTCTACAAGTTCGGGAAGCAGTGCACGGATATACGTGATCTCATCTCCCCAGGGGATCGTCTAGCTGCCACGTTACAGTTCCTCGCTGCTTGCAGCTCGATGAAGGCGGTGGCGGAGCCTAACCGCGTCGGGTGCAGAACCATCTGAAAGATCATCCCTGATCCGAATGATCACTGATTATCCGGATTACCCGCATCAAACACACACCATAGTTTCATTACTACTAGCAGTGTAGTTTCCTTTTCAGCTGGGGCCCTAACCTCCACCTCCCCCCCCCCCTCTCCCATCCGCTTCGAACTTGGGCTCCATCCCCAACTTTAACAAGGGAGTGGTTTAGATTTTACTAGAAAAGTTAATTGTGTAAGCTAATGGCAGATGGGGTGCCAATTTTTCACTCCCCCCCCCCCTCTCCCCCCCAACCCACTCAGCACAATTACTCCCTTGAGTGAAATCTGCACCTGACCTTCATTGTCATCTCTGCAGGCTCACCAGGCCTGGCAAGACAAGTATCCTGGCAGCCTATGCACTTGCCTAACATTGCCTTCATTTGTGAAAAGCCGAAAAAAATGGAAAGTTTTTTAGAAAACCTCGGTGTGAGGCCCAGTAGTGCATGTCCCCTTTTTACTATGAACAGCACACATGCAGGACACTAGTGCACATACCCGGCTAAATTTCATTATCTTGGACAGAAGTCTTTTCTTGCTCTACTCCAACGTCTGTAACAACCTTTTGCTGCTTGCTGAGCCACCAAATGCATATACTTGATGGACTTGTTGCTGAATGAAAATAGTTGAATGGACATGTACAGAGTCTTGCTGTAACTATAGGCGTAGGAACGTTTCAAAAAGTGTGGGGGTGAGCAAGCTCACGGCATACTTCAGGGACTTTTTCAGGAAAACAAGCCCGATAACCGGGGGGTAAAGATGGAGGTTATCGCTCTTTATTCAAATGTAATAATTGCTATTCTAAATATGCAAGTAGAGCTGTTTCTCACTGGTGCACACTCTTGCCAATCGGGCTTATTTAAGTCATTCGGGAAATAGAGCTTTCCAGCTTCCCAAGATTAGTTGTCCATTTCAACGTTACCTTACGTGGGGAGCCGAAATTCCCCATTCCACGAATGGGTAGGTATTTTGGGCCACTGAGGAGGCATCTGTCTCCACAGGGTAGATGCCAAAATATGGCCTGAGCATAGGGTGGTGAGAATTTTGAAAGTGGATCGATGGCTCACAGTACAGCAGATTTTGCATGCGCCTTCAATTTCGCTGGCTGCTTTTCAATAGATAAGACTAGTCGCGGCGTTTTAGGCGGAAACAAAGTCGGAAGCTTGAAACTGCCAATAGCCATGTAACAAAAGTCATAGGACTGGAGATTATCCCTTGAAAACCAAGCCACAGAATGAAGGTCCTTCTGTCATATATTCCTTGTCTGAGCCCTGCTCCCGTCCGCCGTCGGTGGCCACTGTCCTGGCCCAGCTGTCTCCGAATGACTGACCGCGAACTGATGATATGGCTGCTTTGTTGCACATTTCTGGATCAGCATTGCTGCTAATTGGGATGTAAAACATGTGCTGGACACCTGCAACAGTACCTTTTCCGCACTACTTTTCCCTTACACCACAGCACCCCAGAAAAATGCCCCTGGGAAGCTACCTACTCTAGGTATGAATTGGCCCAACGGACATTTCATTGCCCGCTCTTCAACGTAGATGGCTCGATCTGCTTTGTGTGTAGGCAGGGGAAAGCCAGAGCCTTGCTAGGAGGAACACAGGGTTGACACAAGTCCCCTTCATGATGATCCCCCTCCCACAAAAGTATCCCCGGATGTAGTTGACTTGTTAACAAGGAGTACGATTTTCTTCGTTCCATGGTTATTTTTACGTTGTAACCAGAGCAGAAGCCAGATGCTACCGTGAAATTATTTCTGTTTACATTCTTGACATGCGCCCGGGTGGCCGGCTAGATACCCTTCGCTCGGGTGGGGGTCAATTTGACCCCGCTGAGATCTCGGGAACTAAGAGAGTTAAAACACCAAATTCACTGGGTGTGTTGGCCTGTACGTGATCTCACTTAGGTCGAAGTTTGAGGATTCTAGGTCATGAAGTTCGGGTCAAATGGGGTCAAAAAAGGTCAAATTCCAGGTTGGTCTCTAAAGTGCCCTCAGAACCTAGGTAATTGATTCTATGCAAAAGGTCACATGTTCAGTTAAGGTCAATGACCTTGTTTGATCTTTTGAAGGTCATGGTGACCAAAATCATACAAGACTGCTCTGAGTTTTGCATTTGAATAAGCGAGGGAGATTACGCTATGCAGTATGTGTCTAAAACACAATGTTGACCTAGGTCGTTTTAGGTTAATGACCTATTATGACCTCTAAGAAGTCCATGGAAGATATATAGTGCGGTTCCTGCTATCAATACATTCTAAATGAGCGCCAGAAAACTATCGCGTACAGCAAACCCTAGAGTAATAAAACGGCTGGGTTGTTGACCTTGGCCGGATATTTGTATCTGACCTTAGATCAACGCTATTTGCTCATTCAATATTTGTGTTGCCTAAGAAGGCATCTCAGAGATGTATGGCCTTGTCTTGACACTCCATATTGTATCAGACCTGAACGATTCCTAGAAGCTGGCTTCTCTGAACCATGGCCTGACTTGACCTGCCATAGGTCAGCGACCTTACAAAGTACATCTAAATTTTGTCATGCTTAACGATCCGCTATTCAATTGTCTATAGCTATGCAAAGCATTGCGCAGCTGCGCCACGTCGTTCGGAAATCATTCTGGAAAAAAAACTTTCGAAGGGGGGGGGGATAAGTTGATTTGATTCCCACGCGAGCACGTGGTAAGGTCAATATACTGCAGAAATCAGGCGTTTAATGACGCACGGAATATATCACCGGTACGCTTGATTTGCAATGGCTTAGTTGACTCTTTTTAAGCTGATGGACTTCAGAAGCTTTCTTATAATGTTTTATCTGCGTTCTTTAGACATTGAGGACATCGCGAAGGTAAATTGTAGATCGATATGTTTGATCGTAATTTGAGGGTGAAGATTTTAATTGTAGATCGAGTAGCCAACAATGTGTATTAATATCACCACGCCATGTTTGTCTGGAAATGTTCAACATTCAGTAAGAATCGATTAGTGGCACAATTTATATGACGTAGTTTTTAACACGCGTGCTCGCAAATCTTAGCAACACAGCTTCGATACCAGACGTTGCAGTCTCCATAGTCCGCGGAGCGCTAGCTTAGTGGTTAGCTTTTCGTCATGGTCCACCGGTGGACGAAAGTGACAACGGCTCTGAAATTATTACCTATGAACATTTGAATCGGCTAACAATAAAAGTTACGTGACGTAATTTTGAGCATGCATACTCGCAAATTTTAGTTTAAAAAGCCTCAACGCCAGGCGTTGCTGCCTCGTCAGGGCCGCAGCGTCGGCTCAACAGCTAATACTGAGCCGTGGTCAACCGATGGACGAAAAATGACGACGTTTCCGAAAAGAAAGTACCTTTGAACGCTTCAGGACATCAAATTCTGATCTACAGGCAGTCTGGGCGCGTTTTCACACGTGCCATTTTTAGACCGATGAAAAGAACGGATTAGCCTTAAAACACCACGAAGTGGTGCTGGAATCTGGCGGTGGG